GGGTGGGGCCAAAATGGCCGACCCAAGTTTTACATAGGAATATATAGGAAAAATCTTTAAAAAATCTTCTTCTCCAGAACCACTGGGCCAGGAAAGATGAAACTCATGTGGAATCATCCTGAGGTAGTGTAGATTCAAATTTGTTCAATTGATGACCCTAGGGGCAAGGGTGGGGCCAAAATGGCCGACCCAAGTTTTACATAGGAATATAAAGGAAAAAACTTTAAAAAAATCTTCTTCTCCAGAACCACTGGGCCGGGAAAGATGAAACTCATGTGGAATCATCCTGAGGTAGTGTAGATTTAAATTTGTTCAATTGATGACCCTAGGGGCAAGGGTGGGGCCAAAATGGCCGACCCTACTTTTACATAGGAATATATAGGAAAAATCTGTAAAAAATCTTCTTCTCCAGAACCACCAGGCCAGGAAAGATGAAACTTATGTGGAATCATCCTGAGGTAGTGTAGATTCAAGTTTGTTCAAATCATGACCCCCGGGGCAAGGGTGGGACCATAATGGCCGACCCTAGTTTTTCATAGGGATATATTGAGAAACAAATATATTTAAAATCTTCTTTTCAAGTACTTCAGGGCATGATTAGTGATATTTATATGGAATCATCCTAAGGTAGTGTAGATTCTAGTTCAAATCATGAACCCCTAGGGGTTAAAATTTAAGCCCCCCCCCTTCCCCCACCATCACCTCAGTAAACTTTCAGTTCTGATCTGATATGTGCTTTTTCCTAGCCGATATGCTCAGGTGAGCGCTGTGGCCCCTGGGCCTCTTGTTTTTATCATTTTTCTTTATATTATCAAAAGACTTTATAGTAATTTTTAGATAAAAAAATGCAGCATAAAATTAGTGTCAAAAACCAAGGATAAACAAATAATAACCAGAACGTGTTGACATCCTCTGTCAGCGCCTACCTCGACAAATCATCACAGAAAAGAAATATCTGTAAGATAAATCTACCAGATTCGAATACTTGTTGACGCTTTATTGTCAAGCTGTACTACCTTTTTCAGGAAAATGACATCTCGATCAATGATGGACTAATTTTTGGAAATTACCAAAAAATGTACAAGTTTGAGGAGACATAATTTCATGCATCTAAAAAAGAAATATAATTATATGACTTTTCAAAATCCAGTTATTTTTTGGCAAAGATGTTCATTTATTTAGTAATTGCGATGTTACACACGATTTTACAGAAATATAGGGTTTGAATTTACTTCAACTAGCCAAAACTAAAATTGGAACATGAAACCTTAACTAAAATCTGTTTTACGTTGTCATTTCATTGTGTATTGAAAACACACTGCATCTTTAAAAATTCCGTCTTTTCTAGCCAAGTGTCCGATTCGTTTCCCTCATCTCCCATGAGATGAGGGAAACGAATAGGACACTTGGCTAGTGAAGATGGAGAAAATCGTCATTTTTCATAAAAATTTTGCAAGGAATTTTTTTTCGTCATTATAAAAAAAGGTTAGGGATAAGTCATTTTAAATTGTTAAATATCTTATCTACTATAGATGTAGAAGCGGAAAGGAAAAAGAGATAAAGTTATTAATTTTTTTTTATATTTTAAGCATATTTTATCATTTTATGACTTAAATGTTGTTATACCATTTCGCAGCGATAAATTATACGAGTAAAAGCGCGCTGAAACTTTTTCCATCTGCAAAATATCTAAACTAAGAATTTTCGAATGCATTTAATTGGAACACATATGTGCTTTACCACAAAGAAAAAATATAACTTTAATATTTAAGAAAAGTGATATTTTTTGTATATCTAATAACAACAGGAAAGCAAAAATCCAGTAAAATGATAAGAGCATCTATAGAAAACAAATACCTTTTGTGTACAAGTATTGTAAATCCATGCAAGTATTGTAAATCCATGCTCAGTTATATTTGTAAACAAAACAAAATGAACACAATCAGAAAAACGTTAACATTAATAAAATGATATGGAGATAACGAACAGTAACATAATCTGTCCTTTTTACAAATGTATATGTCTGATGTAATATTTTGAGGAAATTCCTTGTCACTGAAATTAATGATTTTTTTTTCAAACAAGTTCAATTCATTCAATATTATCTTTTAATGAATTACGAGGGTTGATCCAAATTTCATGGAATTTCTCTCGATGTTTTTCGTGATTAGATGAAAGCAAAAAAATATATGATTATGAGGAAGAGCCATTAAACAACAACATTGATGCTGGAAAATTTCACAACGTTCCATTACCCAATGTCACACAAGCTTTCTAAACATGGGCAGTTGTAATTACAGGGGGGAAAGTTTGACGTACCGTTATATTAAATCTGCCACGTCACGTACTAGAATCTCACCCCCACTTTCAAATTGACTAAGACATTCTACAGAACACTGTACAATGTATTTCTTCTCCATTCCTGTTTTCAAGAAAAGTTTGGTTCCCCTATCGCACATTTTTTTTCAATATAAAAGTTATTTTTGAAAACAAATATATTAGTCTTTCCAAATAATGTTCTTATTTCAGTAGCAATGTCAAGAACAGTATGTGTACAGTTCACGTCCATTAACGCTCACTTGGTCTACTAGGAGACCATCCAAAGGAAATGGAAGTTCTACATTCCTTAAGCTTCTCAAACCACTGGATTGACCGATCGATGGCAGATCCTCATCCTCATCCTCATCCTCGGCAGATATGTATGACGAAAAAAATTCAATTTTAATGGACTATTTCCTGTTTAAAAATTTAATCATATAAGTTGTATGTTTTCATTCGATCGATAACTATTAGTTATCTTAACTTTATCACATGATATTATATATATTAATGCAAATTAATGTATCATTATATTAAAATAAAGTGACATTAACATTTCTTTTAAAATACTTCGATACTTTTATTCCTAAAAAGGAGGCTTGTCCATGGAGTTCGTGGACAACTTTGGTAATTACTGACAAACATTGATAAAATGTTTGAATATATTTTTTCATTACATTCATATTTCATTTTTGTTAATAAGCATGCACGTTTTAAGCAGAAACAAAGCACATATAGTTATATTTTTATCACGACAGGTACACATTTTCATACCAGAGACACTTAAAAGAAAGTCATTGACGTTACCTGACGTGAAAAGCTTATAATTAATACATGTAACTTTTCTCAACATAGTCACAGTTTTACTTAATGCATTTCTTACATCGCTTTATCAGTAACCAAAATGTGCATAAGCTGTCCAGGTTTTATGTGTGGAATAATATTTAACACTCCCTGTCTCTGATCTTCCAAATCATCAAAACTTTGCCCATGTGAAAACTACGGCAAAATCACGTTAGGAAATTCATTTTTTACAGTCCTTCCGTCCGAAATGTCACTTTAAAAAGAATGGTTTCCTTAACCATGTTTTCCCAACTGTTTGGGTCTTTGTTGGAGTTTTCCGAAAACTACTCAAATCTTTACACTGCATTTTGCTCTATCTTTTTCCAAAAACACTCCTTTTACGAACAGATGTGCCATACTAGATTTTAACCTTGTGTCGTAGTAACAAAACCGACTAGACATCAAAATCGTTCTATTAACCCCGCTTACTGCTTGCTTATAATTATTTAAAGAAACATTTGATTACTTCTTGATTTACATATTTCATTTATCAACTTAGTTTTCCAAAAAACCTGTTATATAGCAAAAATTCTTTATCAAACACTCTATCACTTCTTGTAACTTGTCAAGATTACGTCATGTTACGGAACGCTCCTTATTTTACGAACTGTCTGAACAGTCCGTAAATTAGAAATGTATTAATGAATGTTGTGTGATATCACATGAAATTATAGAAGCTTGCTACAAATTTCCAGAAAAATCCATCTAGCAAAAACGATAAAATGACAAAAATACCAACGCCCGTCGTTTAGAGCGTTTCAATTTCTATCCCCAATACTATGCATATGCGCGACGTCTATATATTCTAATAGTGGCCAATTTATAAAGTAGATTCTATGCCCTGTAGAGAAATAACGCACAAAAGTATGTCCCTGCCATTTAAGATATTACAGCATTACATCACAATAAACTAAATGACCAAACAATAAAATTACTCTTAGAAGTTATAACACCTTATCAATTAATGCATTGTGAATTGCTAGGAAAATAACCCTTACACCTTTAGAAGCATATTTAAGCAGTTTTCCTAAAAAAATTTTAATTTGCTGTTGGGATACAGTCATATAAATGTAGCATACATGCTACATAAGGTTTACGTAAAACTTTCCAAAATAGGGGAGATTCGGATAAAATATCTCATTCCTTCAAAAGTTATTTTTATATATATCTTCTTCCCTTTCCTCCCTCGGTTAAAAGCGTTTTATATACAAAAGTACAGGCCTATTTCAAGGTACTATACTATTGCAGCTCTGAAGAGAAGGTTCTAATTGTCCCTGATAGACATACTGGACCCTCTCTCCAACAAACACATATGTATTTTATTTGCATCAACTTTATGATCATTTGGCTCAAAAAGATGCCGGGGGCACGGCGGCATTTCCTGGGAGTTTCTTATTTCCTGGATGATTTCAGATTCCTTCAAAAAGTATTCTTCATCTTCATCTGTAATGTTTATGTCCTTGCATGAAAAACCACTATCATATATAATCCCCCTGTGGAAAGTTTCTGTTATTTCCTTAATCAAACTCTCAACCGTTTGTCTAATCTTCTTGACGCATTCTTCTTTCACTGATTCGTCCTGCGTGAAAACCTGTAACTGGATGGATGTTTTGCTGACAGCAATGGCAAAGAAATGACCAGCTTCTTCTGCCTTGTAAAATGCAGCATTTTTAAAAAAAGACTCTTCGTTGCAAACTTTCCATTTCCTTAAACAATTTACCACCAATCGGAAAAAGAAAAAATGGGGTAAATAAGACTTGAAAAAGTACACCATCATGCTTGATTTTTGTTTTCGGTAAATTTCATCTTTTCTACCATCAGGAAGATCGGTTCTGTTCATACTTGGAATATAATACATCTTCTCATCATTATCAACTCCGCCTTTTGTTTCTAATTTTGTCATCAAGCCAAGTTTGTTCATGTATTGAAAGATGTCATCTTTATTATTTACATAAGATTGCCATAAGGAATTATAAATGCCTTTGATACTTTTCCAAACCTCTTCAATGTATTTTTTGGAAATTTTTCCGGTATTGACAAATATATTTTTGCTGTCTTTTCGAGCAAAATGCTTTTTGTCAGTTATGATGTACTTGAATGCATCAACAAACCACTGAACATCGATGATAATCGTTTCTTTGAGTTTATCCTCAGAAAAATATATAATTTTTCCAATTTCGTGCAAATAACGGAGAACATCATTGAGGTCATTTTCGTCCATCAAAAAGGTTTTTGCCGTTTCCATCAATTGATGCCTCTTTAAGACTCTGTCACCGTTTGATTTCTTCTGATTAAGAATTCTCTCTATTTCAAACCATTTCAAGGGAATTTTTTCTCCCCACTGTGGCAGCTGTTGTACTGTTTCGACGATACATTTCTTAACGAGGTCAATTGACCTTTGCTGATCACGTGTCAATACTTTCGATGGACATTCTACTTCAAAATATCGGTATGGTGATATTAGTTGTTTTAAGGTCTGTTCCTTAGATAAACATTCTTCTACTTCGCTGAAAAATGCATCCATTGTATCCGAAGTTTTGCACTATTCAAATACAAAAAAAAGGTAATAAGCGTATATAGACACATAAATGTAATAGACATTTTTTGGATGGAGGCTTTATAACTAAGGAAAAATGAATGAATTGTATTTTGAAGACTGGGCAGGATGTACTTCTGTTGTAAGAATGAAATCTTAGCACATTTCAGAATCTCATTTTTTTTCTACGCAAGAATGGCAATTCCATGCAAATGTATATTATGTACGTCAAAAATAGACTTACCAGTCCTACCAGCTTGTCTTTATGAGTGGCAACAAGAATTACCGGTTGAAAATTGACATTCACCCCGGAGTCTTTGATTTCTCTTGTGTCTTTCGGATCTTTTTTTGTTATTCCATCATTGCAGTATGTATTTATAGTTTGTAACCAAAAATGGACATAATCTTTAAAAAGGAAATATAAATAATAAGTTTTAATAATTTTTATCTTGAAAACTTTTGTATTAATACAAAAAGGTAATATAGTTGCATAAATTAATAAGATGTCACTTTCTTTCTGTCTTGGTTGGAAAACAAGTAACACTCAGTCGTAAAATTAAGTTGGAATTAATTTTTTTATATAGAAGGCTGTCCCGAGGGCACAAATATTGACATGGTGCCAAGAAATAATAATGGTTCATTTTTTGTCAATATTCAGGGATATATTTCTTAGAAAGTGACACTAATCCACCTTTGGACTCTCAAGGACAGGAAAGTAATATCGTAATGAAATTACCTCAAATTCAAATGATGGAAAAATTCATGATTTTATAAGTTTAACTTTTAACAGTAATTTTAATGAATTTTGTATAAAATATTTACAAATATAAATAAATAAATAATAATTTTTAATTTTATAAAAGCTATAAATAATTTTTTCCTGCTTTTCCTGTGAAAACTATTTTTATGTTTACTATTTATTTAGATTTTGTTAGAATTATCTCCCCTGTTGCACTCTTCTGTAGAGAAGGTAGATAATGATTATGTTTACGAAGTCATCTAATCGTTTTAAGCATAAATCATATGTGATTAGAAGAAAATTGTCCTTTCCTGTGAATGTAATTTGTTACATATATATATACTAGTGGCCTATGTATATAATACATAAAAAAATTATGAAATCCATCGGGATGGATATACGGTTCCGTAACAACGTGTAAACATTATGGCATCCTACGACGTTTTGTACGTCCTCAGAAAAAGATTCAGGTGCGTGAATTGTCAACGAGTCTTCAGATTCTGGCTCCGATTTTGATGAATATGATTCTGACAGCGAACATTCATTTGGTAGCGAGACGGATGTAGTGATAATGGTCCCGTGTTGATGATACCGAATCAACAATGTTTGAATTTGAAAAAAAGAAACAGGTAGTTGGATCTTGGTTTGTACATGTAATACTATGTACCTTATAAAAAAGCGTATTGATTTGTAAAAAAATAAATAAATAAACAATTTTGATGGGGACTTGATTATGTACAAGATAATATTTTTTACAAGACAGTATCAGGTCTGGTACAATCACTAGATTTAGCTACGTTGCTTGATTTACCTACTTAGTTAGCTTTATTTACCTACCTTCAGTAGCTTTATTGAGCTCTGTACCAACGTAATTTATTTCTATAAAAAAAATCTACCTACGTAGCTAATTCTAGTGATTGTACTAGACCTGAATATATACCTAGCAAACCTGTCAAGAGAAATTTCAAGGTTGGTACATGTTCATGTAGCAACAAAAATATCTCTATAAATTCAACAATATTGCAAAATATTCACATCTGCAGTATTATAAATAGCATAAGAAGCCTTTGTGGGGTGATGAAGATTAGAGGGAATGCAAAATTGAATAGGTCATGTGTTTCAAAGATTGTTTACTATAGGGTACATTTAGAATTGGATAGATGGGTCTTCACTGCCAATTAAATCACCATTTTTGCCTCAAATGTGGGATGCATGATTATAAAGAATCTCATTTAACAAAATATTTTTTTCACATATTTATGAGATGTTATGAAGATGGCTACACTTATAATTTATAATAATATATAATATTATAAGTATAAGTCTGGGAAATTATACTTTGTAAAGAATATTTCATTTAATTCTTTTATTTTTTTCGTGCAACTTCAGATTATTCAAATTCATTTCTCTGGTTAGGGCTGGGCTTTACAATGGGATTTTCAGCTGTGGAGCTATGAAGAATTACTACATAGGGTTTCCAATGTAGTTTTGTGAACAGAATCCAGAAAGAAGAAGAGGAGAGACAATGCAGTATAAGCATTACCAATTACTTGCCACTGCTAAGAACATGGTAAAGATATGTTATACTAAACTACATGTATAGGAATTGCCTTGTCTGTCTGTGGATTTGTCACATGCTTTTTTCCCTATTCTGTTACTTTACTTCAAGGATATATGAAGCTCTTGTTTTCTTCAAAGATAGCCAGAAGAATTTGTGAAGAATCTTACCCCAAGTCATTTGATGACATTTTCTTCAATTGGAAAATATAAATATAGCATTATAATAAACATGAAATTTATTTTAAAAATCTTAAAATATGTCTAGTATGGTTTATTTCAATTTAATTTGAAAACTGTCCATTTTCACAGGTACATGCTTTCAGTACTACTGTTGTGTATTTGGAGACAGTCCAGTTCTTCTTTAAACCAGGAGTGGAAATTTCAGTGCTTGTTCAATTTCTCCAGAAGATATGGGATGCTACATAGGAAGAAATTGGGGCCATACTGAACAGAATAGATTGGATACACCTTATAGATTTTGAAAGCTTGAAACCTCAAGATCAACCCAAATGGTGTACCAAACATGAAGAAAAAAAGACAGTTTATGATTGAAGAAGCTTGTGTAGTAGCCAAACTTTCAGGGTATTTCATATATGTTAACTTATATGATTTTTATATGATATGGTACATGTACTTAAACATTGTTAACATCTTGATATTTAATTTGTATCAGGTTTCACTTGCAGGAATACACAAAAATTCAAAGTAAAGTAAGTGTTTGTTATGTTAGAAAAGATCAAAGTTCAAGGTCAATAGTGCTTTAGTTTTACCAAATATAACACTATTATAAAGACTACATGTAATTTCCTGTATACAGGTATAGCAATAATTCAGAATATGAATTTGGAAACTGTGATTTTTTCTTTGAAATCTTATCTTAATTTAGAACCATGATGTATGTACTTAAGTAAGTAGATTTTTTTCAAGCATACAAAATTTCAAGGTCATTTTAATGTTGGAAGTGAATATAAAATATCAAGAAGCAGTCAAGCATTGTAATTATTTTGTTGTTGAATGTACTTAGTTATTGAGTAATATTCAAATTCTAATCTGGAATGAAATTAAAAATTATAAATGTTCTAATTTGTTGATTTTTAAAACCTGGTGTTCATTCATTTTGAGTTTGTTGCCATGACAATATGTCTGTCAAGAAACTGGCTCTGATATTCCTTTTTGTTCAGTTTGACCCTTGACCTTTGACATTGTGACCTCAAATCTGAAGGGGTCCTCTACTTTTTAAGAAATCATTGTACTAAATTTGATGTGTGTCAAGCAATGGGTCCTCAAGATTTTGAATGATTAAAATCTACATACTGGTATATCGAGAATTATAACCATTGACCTTTGACCTTGACAACCTCAAATTAAGAGGGGTCATCTACTTATTAGTAGGTACCAGTGTACTATGTTTATTATCTATCAAGCAAATGTTTTTTTTAAGATAAGAGAGAACACACTTGGTCTAGTGATTGACAAACAGGTACTAAGCAGTATGTGAATATCATCCTGCTCAAAGAAAATGTATAATAATACAATTCTGGTACCCCCCCCCCCAATTAACCCAATTTAACTCCCTAAGAAATAATTATTGATTGAAAACAAAAATGTACAATATACTGGTAATTTTCAACAGCAAAATTTAAATTTTTGAAAATATTTAAATCAGCAAAATAACTCCTTGCTGAAGTTCAAGGATGAGAAAATTTGAAAATTCACAATAAAATGTCCAACTTTAAGTAAAAAGTACAGCAAAATATTTGAGAGTCAAAAGACAGATTTTTTAAATATAATGTAGACAGACATGTTGTCTAATAATTGGTATGAGATTGAGTTGATTCTAAGCGTCACTTTCTGGGTTATAGGTTTTTTAAAAGTGAATATTTTCACCAGTTTTCAAAAATCTGAAAATATGCCAGATTTGTGACCTTTTTGCACTTAAACGAGGGCACAGTTTGTGATTATGAAAAATTTTCCGAAACAAGTGTATCTTGTTAATTTCAAACATATATGGATATTTTATATCATTATCAAGTAAAATGCTGAATTTTTAAATATAAAATCCTATAAAATTTCTGTTTTCACCCTGCGTAAGGACCAAGAATTCTATTTTTAGTAACAGTGTCGATTTAACCCCTTAAGTGAGACCACACTGAAAAAAAATTGGTGACAAAATTTTTCATATTATAGTAGAAATTTACACACAAAACATGAAGTTGATCAGAGAACCTTGCTCCCATAACCTTTTGCATGGTTTTCTCGTAGACATGCTCTTAAACCTAATATGTACGATTTTTGCTATGCAAAATGATAGTTGCCTAGATATATATCGTTTCGAGAAAAGAATTGAAATAACCATTTTTAATTGAAAATAAGATGTCTTAAATTAAGTTCTTAACTAACCTATAAAATATTTGTGATAAATCATATGGCATCATATAGACACGAATTTCTGTGCTCGCTAACTATGATTGTAGTTTAAAGATAATTATAAAAATAATTAATTTGCTAAGCTTGTATTTTTTTCTTTTCTACGTAAAGATTGATTGTCGGAGTTCTCTTTTTTTTTATGTATAAGCAATAAAACACTCTTATTTTTTAAACCATTTCTGCATTTTCTTTTCAGTGTCGTGTTGCAGGGAATGTTAAGGTGACATCTCATTTTTCTTTCGAAAGTCGATTGAAAATTTGACGCCAATCCGATTTCTAATAAACGTTTGACTTGGGTTGCCACACATTACGATTTAAGTCGAAAGCAAATGGATTGGAAGAATCTGATTGAAAATCGGAGGAAGAATCCCATCGCATGACCACACGTTCAGTTAAGGTATTCAATTCCTGATAGGAACAAATTCAATGAAATTGAATACATAAGAGATATGTAGACATTGAATACTCAGATTATTTAGACCTTCTTCCAATTTATTACTATTAGTATGTATAGTAGGATATGTGTCCTAATTTATGACCTTTAATTTTGTAAAGAGTTATCTCTCCTTTTTTTTAATTGATAAAAAAAAATCAATCAAAAACTTATAGCCATTAAAAAAATTTTCAATTGTCATTCTATTTTCAATATTTCGATGCATTTTTTCATTGCAGGATTTATAAATATTCAAAGTATTTGAATTTTTATTTTGAGAAAACGCTTTTCCCCATAGACTTCAGTACAAACTTTGTTTATTAACTATTGCTTGATTAATGAAACCTTTTAATTTTTCTCGCGGTTTATCCTTTTCCATTTTAAGATACTTTAAATTAATATCAGAGTATTATGTTATTGACGAACATTTAAGGACAGATGATACAAACAAACTTATGTCAAAAAATTTGTAAAATTCAACTTGGGTCCTGTTTAAATTTTAATTTTCTATTAAAATTTGCACAAAAATGGATTTTTAAGTGAAACTATTTGTATCGAATAATAAGGATAGTTTCAGAAGGGCACAATTTTGAACATGAAAGAAGGTTTACAATTTCTTTATACTCTAGAAATTTATCATTTTGATTTGTATCATTTGCAAAAAATGAAGCCAAAAAATATATACCAATCCAGGCATCCATTTTTGTCTGTATCATCTGTCCTTAAGGATAGGGAATTTGGTCTCATTAGGGATGGAAATCCTTAAATAAAAGTATGATTAAGTAATAGATAGTCACCTCCGTAAGTCCAGGAGTGAAATAAGGATCCTGTAGGGTCATGGCGATCTCTGTCATACATTCGACTTTCTTTCTTCAGCTTCTTAGACATGTCGACAACCACGATATAAAACGCTCTCCTTGACAAGTAAACCTGGTGACATGCGTAATAAGCCACTTGTCCTGCAAAGTCCGTCATGCTTATGACTTTCTTGTCAAGATATGGTTTTTCATCACTGTCTGTTTTGTCCATACCAAAATCTAATTGAGAATGATGAAACAGAAGAAATCTTAAGTCATATTATAGTATTTCAATGGCCCAGCCACCTTCATTTTTGAAAAAAAATGGGAACACTTTTGTTAATTTTAATGGTAGTCATATCTCTATGTGTACTTCAAAACATGCTTAATTAAAACAAAACTAAATGTACTCTTCATGATATTGAATTTGAACATTTTGATTGAATTAATGAGAAATGTACAGTTGTAATAATATTGATAATAAGCCAAATAATAGGAACAGATAAGAAATAAACCCTGCCTTCAGTTAGACAAGCATTTACATACGTATACACTGAAAACGAAAACACTGTTTCAGAAAAAGGAAAATACTACCTATCAACTTGTTGTCTTCAATAGTAAACAGATCTTCGTGGACCTCAAGACCTATGGTTGTCTTTGATGGCTTGTTCCAATCTGTTTCTATCCTTCCGTGAAGCTTTCTAAGAAGAGTTGTTTTTCCTGCGCCTGCACATCCAACAATCATTCCTCTTGCACGAAACATTTCCTTACTTCCTAGCTTCGAGTTCTTTACAAATCTTTGTCTTGCGTCAAAATTCCTTCCTAATACTTCTTCAGGAATGTTTACTAAATTAAACAAATAAATGTCACAATTAAATTTCTCCTCAAGGTTAATTGTAAAAAAGTCTTACTTTTATTAGAAATTGTAAAGCGTTGTTTTATCATTATCGAGACTTTAAAAACAAGAGATGTTTGTAAAACACTTATGCCCCCCTCACCCAAATTAGAATTTTTCCAAGTCCAAGGGGCATAACTCTATCAATCCAAGGGGCATATCTCTATCAAAATTGGTGCAATTGTACCCAAAACAAAACTCGACCTAAATATTCATGTAATATATTTCTATACCAAATTTAATTCCAGCATGTACAAGGGTTGCGAAGAAAATGAACGGAAACTGCAAATAATTTGAATTTTTCTAAGTCCAAGGGGCATAAATCTGTCAAAAACGGTGCGATCGTACCCAAAACAGAACTTCATCTAGATATTTATGCGATATATCTGTATACCAAATTTCATTTTAGTATGTACAACGGTTGCCAAGAAAATGAACGGAAGCACTGCAAATAATTGAAACTTTTCAAATTCCAAGGGGAATAACTCTGTCAAAAATGATGCAACCGTACCCAAAATGAAACTTGACCTCGATATTCATGTGATATATCATGTGATATATCCGTATACCAAATTTCATTTCAGTATGTTAAATGGTTGCGAAGAAAATGAACGGAAACGAGTGGACCGACAGACCGACCGACATACCAACTAACCGACAGACAGTAGCAAAGCAATATGCCCTCCTTTCTTCGAAGGGTGGCATAAAAATCAGTTATAATTTTTCAGCGTTAAAAATGATAATATAACAAATGAAATGTGGAATGAAGGAATACCTGTAGTCTTAAATTTTGAACGTGATGTATTTTTTATTACATTTTATTGAATCTACATAAAAATGCATACTTTTGGAACAGAGATTCGTAAGCGGCCACAAAAATATTATTTAAATAATTATGTAACACAAAGATAGACATTTACCTTCTTAACTCTACTATAATAACAGATTTAAAGGATGCTTGCGTCCGCTTTCAGAAAACTTAACTTCGGCTCAGATCAGGTGAGGTTATAGTATTTGTGCCTGTGCACTAAATATTACACAAAAATTTAATTATTTTATTTTACGTTGGAGTTATGATGATCCTGTGGTCACACTATTCCTTTAAATTTCGTTAAACTATTGTTGAAGAGATAGGGGTTTGATATCAAACATTTGTATGACCTTTGAAAAAACCTTTCTAAATACACTATGAGTTTTGACCTGTTAAGTTTAACATTGAAGTTTGACTTTTCCAAAACGTCAAGCTTGGACATAAGCTTTGAATGAGTAGAGTAGGCTTCACTTTTCAAATTTACATTACCTATTACAAAACCATTCTAAATGCACCAAAAAGTTAGATATTGACCTTGGACCTTGACATTTGACTAACTAAAGAAATGGTTTTCCTTATTTTTCATTTCCTTGTCACTATTTTATAGACCTATTTGACATGTGCATTAACTGTGACATTTTTCCGAGCAAGCTCTTATTTATGGCTGTTTGATCTTGACCCTCATGCTTGTACTATTTAAATACATCAGCCTTGCTTATAGTTTTGAAATGGAATTCGGAAGGACCCTATTTCTCTGAATTGGCGTGATGAAATTAGTTTTTCTTGTTATTTTGATGTAGAATACGGTTCGTTTTCTCGATATGTTTCATTTACTTGCATCATTCTTCAATAGATTTGGGATTTTCGGTTGCACATTGAAAAAAGAAAGGAAGTTGTTCTTCTTTAATGTTCAGTACGGCTCTGCACCAAGGCTACCTTGTTACCCACCAGCATTCCTTAAATATTTTTTCACTTGGTTTAATTGTGCTACAATAACGGATATACATGAATTGTATACGACCCATAAACGTACAAGGTGTTATCAAAAAGTTCGTGGACTGAGGCTATAACATTAGTACTATGTAATCTGAGCTTATAAAATTTTTAAGGAACATAAAACAACAAAAAATAAAGAAATGTTGAAAATTTTAGCTATATACCGTCATTATTTCTTAAATTATTACAAAATAAAAACAACATTATATCATCACCCGGAGCAGTCGCCGTTTAGTTTAATGACGTCCAATAACGTCATGGTTTTTCAATGTCTGCTTCTTCTACATCATACACTTATTTTGATGATATTCCCTGGAACTCACTAAAGACTTCAACCCGTCTTCTTTATATGACTTTACAATGTCATAAACAGCGGGGCTTTCAATGCATACACTGAACCAAACTTCTAAGTGTTCACCTAACATTTTTGAAGTTTTAAAGAACAAATGCGAACAATAAATAATTTCTTTAATTCTTGGTTAACAATGCATATTTAAGTTCGATGTTGCGTAAATTTCATGTAATTATCTCGTCATAATTTTAAGCAAAACGTCAAGGAAATGATGTACCTTCAAAATAAAAATTCACACAAAAAAAATCTCAATGGAGTAGGACCCTCTACTCGCTCTTATTACTACAAGACAATCTTTATTGTTAGATACCATGTAACCCTGAAAAGGAAATTGATCCATCTGCTGCCAAACCTACATGTACTGCATAGTTCTTTCCAAACCATTGAAATTGTGAGGAAAAGGGGGGGGGGGGGGGCTTTGACATTACTTTTAAAATCACAGATATGTTCAGTGGGATTCAGGTTCGGGAATTTGACAGTGTATCGTCACACAAATGCCTTTTGGTCAAGGTACTTTGGTGTTTAGCACGTAAGTACGCCGATTTTAGGATAATTCAGTCTGATTGAGTGATATAAGACTGCCACGCGCACCGATTTCTTATAATTTTCGTACGATTGAAATAGTTGTTTCTATGTTTCTAAGATTTTTTCAGGACACATTAACACTCTTTAAACCTGGTGTGACGCGAAATCTTCTCCTCAAAAGAAGATCAATGTCACTTCCGGTGTGGTTAAATTTTGTCAAAAAGTTTCAAATTGTGATAATTTAGTGATGAAAAATGAGCACAGCCTATAGAAAAATGTATTTAAATGGGTTTTGATAATGTTTGATAATTTTAAAAAGTAATATCAAGTACAATTAAGCACTAAAGTAAAAGTGAGTAAAACGTGGTGCAAAGATGGTCCAGATATCAACATTCCAACGGCTCTACCTTCTATCTGAATGGTCATTTTGCCAATGTTTTGTGTTTTTAGTGAAACCAGTTTTAAAATTTGATAATGATCACAAAAATATGCTTATTACACAAAACACGTGCCGCAAAGTATAGATTTATTTTTTTTAAGCTTCGTCACGGAACATTGATTTTCATTGGTGATATTGAATTTCTTTCTATAATTGTTAAGAAGACTCATTTGTTGTAATAAGTTGAAAATATCATGCCATTCTATTTTTAAATAAAGACATTTATTAAAGTGAACACTTAAAAGTTTCGTTAAGTGTATACTATTGTAAATGGATTTATACAATGGCAGAGATCCTAGCTTGATTGTGCCAGCATATTTTGGTTTTTGTAGTTCAATATATACAACACATGATCATCGTCATTTTTTGACTTGATTGATCTTTCACACCTTGACTACAAATCGACATTAACTGTGCATTCTTCGTCTCTCTGAATCTGTTTTGACATTAGAAACAAGTAGACTGGATGCATATTTTTTCTCCGTAGCTAGTTTTAACATTTCATAGATGTACACCGGTTTTTCCAGGGGCAGAACTTTATAGAATGTTGGAAAAGGAAACCCCTCCCCCTGTTTGACGTCATTTTCAAGGCAAGATTTGTTTGGATACTCCATGTAAAGTTTACGATAAAATTTCATGGAACTTTCAGAATGAGGTAAAGATTTAATATTTTATGGAACAATAGTCTCCTAGCACATGCCTTAATTACCTGGATATTTGGATATCAAATGTTCATGTCACAATAGTTTTTCTTAGTTACACTTAGGTCGAAAAAATGTCGTTTTCGAGGTTGCGCCGCATGAACGTTACATAGCTTACAAAAACATTGCTAATTCATTAAAAAAATATCATTTATGATTTGTGATTTATTCTATAAATAGAAAAGATGATGATAACTAGATATTTTAACATTCATTTATGTACTTAAAGCGGTTTTAATTTTATGGCGCTAGTCCACGAACTTTTTGATAGCACCTTGTATTATATAAATTCCACTTAATAATTTACATGTACTCTTATGAACTTATCAGTTAAAAATTATTTTTCATTGCAAAAATTTTTCTTATTATTTTAATTTTTTTTTTAAAGCTGCCGATCTCTTTTTTGTAAATTTAATGTAACACAACAATTTTCGATTATGTATATACAGTACTAAAGGTAAATCGAAGTTTGTACAGAAAAAAAAAAACATGCAACTTATCTTTTTTTCTTTTTTTTTTTTTTGTTTCTCAACTAGTATTTTTTAACTACATAAGTAAAATGGCTACATGTAAATGCAGAAACGTAAAATGGTTTAATGTAGAAAGAACGTTTCCATCTGTTACTTCTTATATGTATATAATAAAGTAGTGAAGTTCAATTATCCCATGCACGTAGAATTTAGGTCTCCTAACCTTCTTCCGACACTAGCACATGTCCGGCGATCACAGACCTTTAAAACAGGGGCAGGATACCGGTAAATACTTCAACAAGAGGCCCACGGGCCTTATAGGTCACCTGAGTATCATGTAACAACATTGCAGCGATTGTATTTGGTTTGTGTTTTATTCCAAAAGCCATGAAATTCACAAATTTTGAAGAAGGCACCATTGCTTATCAAAGGGCAGATTTCAAGGCATTAATTTATTTTTAGTCAAAGTACCCCCCTGGTACCCCTGACCCAGCGTCCCTGAAAGTATCTATTTTAAAAGAGGCCCCTTTCTTCATTATAAGGCCAGCATTTTTTTTGGTTCAGGTCTAGTTATGAACATGAGAATAAAAATGTCCCAAAGGAGAAGGAAATCAAATTTTTTTTTTTGATAAATCAAGTACATGTATTAACATTTGT